AAAGGAGAAAGAAAATTGTAGCATGTGTGTCGTATAGGAATAGTCCTACACCGTATTGATTGTTCACTGTGCGGTTAGTCGCGAAAACATACGGGTAAGCTTACTCAGCGACTTGAACGTGAGACGGTAGTCTCGTTCGCACTTCGTGAGCCTGCGATCTCATTCGAGGTCGAGGGCGGCGTGGTCTGCCGATCTGGACGTGAAACGTAAGTCTCGTCCATAGATGGTACGGATGACGAGTGCTGTTGACCGGGACATGTAAATGAGGTCTCTGATGTATATAGCATGGGATCCGAGGTAGATGTAGAGATCCCGCTAGTAGGTTTGATAGGTCTAGCATCGGGTATCAAGTTATCGGGTAGGGCACTGTCATCGACATGTGCTGGTTTGAGACGATCAATGCTGACGATCTCGACGCGGCCATGTCGATCAACTTTGAAGGTCTTTTCGTGTTGAGAGATCACATGAAAAGTCTTTCGTAAGGCCGTTGTACCGAATCTACTCGTATGTAAACATGTGAACAGGTAGATAATTCTCGAGGGAGAGCGACCTTTCGATGTTGTGTTCGAGTTGACACTGGAGACAGCGTTCGCATAAATGCAGACAGTCGATGGACATAGTCTGATTTACCGAAATCGTTACTGCTCCGTGGTGTGAAGAATTCCCCAGGCAGATGCAATGTCGTGCCGTATACAGGTTCAGCGGCGGGACATTAGATATCTGCCTTCAAACTCGTTGTGATACCTAAGAGAACGAGCGGTAAGGTTCCGTACCAATTGTCGTTTTCATGTGCTTGAAGAGCAATTTTAAGTTGGCAGTGAAACCGTTCAACCAAACCATTTGATGCTGGGTGGTAGGCGATAGTGCGTATGCGTTCCGTACCGAGCAGCCGGGTCAGTGAGGAAAAATGAGGACTCGAATTGTTGTCCTCGGTCAGTCGTGACAGCCGAGAGACAACCACACAGTGCTATCCATCGTTCTACGAAGCGGTGAGCAACTGTCTCCGCCGTGATAGACATGATGGAAATAGCTTCGGGCCATCTTGTAAAACGGTCAATGCACATGAGTATGTGATCATACCCCTGCGATGGTGGCAATGGTCCTACAATGTCTATATGAACGTGATCAAAGCGAGCATCAGGCGTAGCGAACGTGCCAATGCGGGCAGCTACGCGCCTGTGCACTTTTGATTGTTGACACTAAGCATTGATTTACCCACATACGGACATCTTTATTCATGGACGGCCAGACGTATCGTGCAGCGATGAGACGTAATGTAGTTGCGAAACCTGGATGAGACAGTCCATGCAGGACATCGAAAACGAGACAACGGTAAGCAGAGGGTACGATGGGTCTGGGAAGACCGGTAGAAGTATCATATAGGATGGCAGGTGAGCTAGTAGCTAGGGGTACTTTCTGGCACTGAAGGGACGAAGATTGTGGTGCTTCTGTACAGAAAGTATCGTTTGCTTGAGCAGCAGCCATAACAGGAAGATCGAACACGGGTAAGGTAACTGCATTCGCTTGGATACGTGAAAGAGCGTCGGTAACATAGTTCGATTCGCCTTTAATGTGACGAACTGGGAGATATAGTCCAAAAGTCTGCACTCTCGTGGTGAGTAGCAGTCAGACTTGGTATGCAGGGCATACGTTAAGGGCTTGTGTTCGGTGAATAAGATGAAATTACGGCCTTTTACTGAGTGCCGCAAACGGTTGATGACACAGTAGGCTGCTAGAAGTTCTCGACCAAAAGTGCTATATCTCGTCTCCGTGGGAATAAGGCGTCGTGAGAAAAATTCGAGAGGTTGTCAACTACCGGAGATGTTCTGTTGCACAACGGCTCCTATGGCGAAATCCGATGCATCAACCGCTATACTAAGCGTGACTGAGGGGTCGGGATGAGCGAGGCGTGTGACTTGAGCAAGAGCCGTTTCGATCTCTGAAAACGCAGTACGTGCAACATCGTTCAATTCTGATTTGCGTGGACTACCGCGAAGTAAATCAGTTAATGGTCGTAACCGTTCTGCCGCGTGTGGGATGAAACGTTGGTCATGGGGAATAAATGGTACGGGTCAAAAACAGATAGCCTGTACGTCTGAGTCTGCAATATTATTGCTGCTTTTGTCGCTATCGTCATGTCGAGTATATTATATATTAAAAATTAATATGAAAATATACGACAGACGTGGATAGATTAACCAGAGACTCACGAATTGACTTCTTTGGATGATTTGATCAAGGTTGCTGTGTATTCCAAAACTCGGCTCACCAATTGTAGTGTGGAGTCGAGTCGCGCTTGACTATGAACACCACTACAAGAAGACTACGTGCCAGTTAACCAATAAGATCCCCGTAGGTCAATATCGAGGGGCAAATGATGGCTGTAGTCGAGATGTATTTGTTGGCGATCTCGTGGTATCGAAAAAATATCGAGATCGTGCCAAAGGAGTACAAGAGTAAGTACCAAGCGTAACTGAATCCGTACAAGTTCAAAGTCAACGGGAGAGAGAGTGTAATGGCTGTCATTAGTACAGTTAAACAAACGAGCACACTAAAACAATCACTGGTACAATTGGTTATAATAATAATTGTTTTCATTGAACCAATCGCCTTCTGTTGACAAAAGTAGGTCACTACATACTTATGGTGCTGGGATTAAATTCATGAATCTTCAACCACCAAACCAGTCATTTTACTATAGGTAGAGAGACAGAAATTAGATTATGGTCCACATTAATAAAGTCTGAGTTGATAATTATCAGCATCAGGAACGAACGTTTCATGGTGTTCACGATCATTCAAAATAAGAACGAGCAATTTTTATGGATAGGTTAGTCAATGTTAGCTTTGTAACTGACGTTTAAGCACTCGATTCGCTTAGCTGTTTTGTTAAGTCATTTGCACGACTGGTAAATAAATACCATAAAGTCTTGTAGATAGAAAACTTGATGTGTTAAAAAAACTACATGTTGTTCTACAATGCAACCGAAAAGCACCAAACAAATTTTCAGTAGTGAATAACGTAACTCTGGGTTTCTTGTGCTGAGCCTAGTACACATACTGGTTCTCCGTTACATGTGATACTAAACACTTCACTGCTTTACAAGTCATTCCAAATGGAGTACTGTTAAAAGGATGTTTTGCTGTCTCCTTTCAGAATAGTCTCAAATTTGACTTCCCGTTGCAGGCACTGATGAAAGTTGGGAAGTGAGTATACTTTGTGCTCTGTGTCCAGACAGTGAACAGACGTGGATGATGAACCAACTGTCGAATTCTACGACCAGAAGATATCCAAACAAGCTGAACATTAGAAGAAATAATTAAGACTGAAATAGTGCGGTATCTTTAGGACACACTACCAGCTGGCGGCGTCATGTAACTTTATACACGAATTGCCAAGCCATTCCACCATGCTTTTAACTAAAGAAGAATTGCATTCTACGGTTACATTATGAAGCACGAGATGGCTGAAGATAAAGCCGTTATGAACAATTATGCCTATCAGCAGTATATAATTTCGCGTAGTTACTAAGTATCCGTTGCTTAACTTACATTTTATAATATTGGCTACTATCTACATTAGCAACGGTAAGGAACAATCACAAACCTGCACGTTTTGAACCAACGGAGCGAAGAGAAACATGGATTCGATAGCGTTTTCGAAAAATAACAAATTAAGCATTTTCGAGAATTTTGTTGATTTTTCGTAGGGTAGGTGCAACTTATAAGTGCATAATATTTTACTAAGAACTTCACTCCAAGTTCCAACTCTCATTAGATTCGATTTTTACACTGAGCAATTTTGGATACACTGTAGATCACAAACGTAGATGATCTATGTCGAATGATCGGGGGTCTAACGTGGATTACCCCTTCGTTATGTCAAGGAACCATGGATGCTTTGAGGGATGCTATTACAGAAATATATTAATAAGAATGAGTACAGGGAATACGGCGGGACCACGACTACATGGGCCAGTCCATGGCATACGGCCAACTGATACGCGTTGATTGTCTTTGACATGGATCGATATTCAGTGACCCAACTGTTGGATGATTTGGTTAGGCCTCAGTGATATTTCATTGACCCTACAACACTAGTGCCGTGTACAAATTTAGATAGCTTCGGGTAATCAAAGCAAATTTTAACACAGAAATAGAAATCACCTTGAGTCATTTAAACCGCATGTAATTCATGCTTAGGATTGTGAACGAAGTGTAAAGCCAGTATTATCAATAGCCTATGAGCATATTGATCAGCCCGTACAACTAATTGCGGCCTGTCCCTGTTTCTAATATTCATAAAAAATATACATACCTATCCTCAACAAAAACCAACGTTTGGCTTAAGTTTGTATAATTAATATTTCTACTTTTGTGATGCGATGTGCTCTGTTCGTATATAAACCGAATATGTCGGAAATATACGATTCATATAGTGGAGGCTGATATTTTTGTTCTGAACTGAAAAGGCTGAGTTAAGCGTGAGGCTACTATTCAGACGACAAATAAGGACTCAAGGTTATTCGTGCTGGTTAACGCAGCACTGATCTCGCACAGCAACAAGTCGGTATTCCGATTGGCGATCGTGATTTAGTAATGCTTGGTGGCACGTTAATCGACGCTTCAATAAACAAGTCTGTTAAGTCTACGGGTTACTTCTTAATAATGACCGTGTGGTAACGACAGATACTGGAAACTTTGTCCAGATAACTACTACGTATGAACTGAAAGCAGGTCTCATGAAGTGCTCTCACCTTCCTTATCGGCGTACATTTTACTTACTAAACTCCAAATGAGGCTCTTGGAAATTTGCACTTGCAGGTAGTGAGAACGTTTTCTTTGGAGTCTTTAAGTACTCAAACCTAGTCTGTCATTTTTCGCCACAAGTTTCTAATCCATGACCATTCTTAAGAATAAATTATAACTTAGTGGTATGCTCAAAAAAAATTCAGTCAGATCGACTTTCGCGATGAACATAGAATAACTTAACGGCGTTTCGCATCAAAATTTATTTGCCTTCACATGGCTAAAACTTAGAAAGTGAAATAATCCAAAGCTTATTGACAAATTGGTGTTCAAACCGTTGCTTATACAGTATACAGTGAAAAGAATAAAAAAAGTTAGTGACAGATAACAGCGCTTCCTTTAAATTACAATATAGAGACGTTTTAGGATAAAACAGATGAATTGTTTCCCCATAGTTTGGGGCCACCGACCGACTTACAACAGGCGTTAAAAATTTTATGTACTCAAATAAGTTGTGAGTAACTATAAAAACTATTAACCTGATCCGATTCCGGAACGCTCACTGAGGTGAGATTGTTCATTACTCTCATATATGAATCATCAATTTATAAAACTAAACTGTCCTGACCCATCTTATGTTAGAGACGCGTGACTGACACACTCATTATCATAGTTACACAATTAAGTAATTGTACAAGCTAACATCGGATATTTCTATTGATCGTCAGACACAAAACTGAATGTTTCCCTATTATTTTACATACAGGTTTATAGACAAAAACTTTAGAGTTCTATCACATGCTTTTTATCAAACTCTCATTAGTGTTACGTATGATGGACACGTCAGTAGATCGTCAAACATATTTAACATTGTTTTGCAAAAGCCTACCCAAAATAACCGCTCATAAAGTAGCATTTGAATATCAGATGTATTAGTCTACACTGCAAACTACTGAATGTCAAATCACTTATTGTAACATGTCTAAAGAATACGTGGATACAAGCAAAAAGAATCTAGTCCTTACCACAGCCATTATAAAATTGATGCGAATGTGCGTGGAATCATACCATATTCAATAAAAGAAAACAGTGCAAGTATCATATAGACGATACATACAGACTATAAATAACTATCTGTTTGTATTCTACACAATGTCAAACAGAACGGTGTATGTTATAAATGAGGAAAGTAAATGGTTAAATAGAATTGCAAGAGGGGGAATTACGAAAAAAAATACAAAAATAATACATGGTAAAGACAAATCAATTAGAATTACGATGAATTATTATTGCTTGTCCGATTAAGAGAAACTAGTTAAAACACGACTAATTACGTAATATTCCGATAGATTCAACAGGATTCCCTAACAAGGATACAGGACGCCATAATGACATAGAAATCAGTATGAGGAAAAATAACAGCGTCATCACAAAGTATTACTTGAAGAAAACCCTAGGCTAATTAGCATATCGATAACATTGATGTACCAGTGTATTTATGAGGCAGAGAATAGTATTATCGTGAGGGTGAATCAAACTGATATATATAATCAAAATCAAAAATTATCTTTTTTAACGCTAAATCTATAAACAAGATTAACAAGGAAAGACATAAGTTAAGTTAACGATGAAACATGAAAATATACTAGATTAGTACAAAGCAACTCTTTTACACAATAGTTATTGGAATGTAACTGAAAGTTATAAGAATAAACAGAGTAAGAGGATGAGAAATTTATACTTCAACGTATTTATTCAGAGTACACTAGATGTAATATTCTACCATACTTTCTACGAAAATCAAATGGATACATCGTATACATGTTAAACAGGAAGACATTTTCCAATAAATGTAACAGCAGTCAGTGTATGAGGAGAAACAAAGAATGAGGACAAGTTTAGTACCTAAAATACAACAAAAATATGCCGAAATAAAATTTAGTTTGTTCTAAAATCTGATATAATGAAATGAATACTTCGAGTAAAAAATATACAACGAAAATTTAAACGTATGAAACGTTACTGAAGGTAAATTGAGACTAGGCAAAAGGCATGGATGGAGTATGTTATATTACGAACAGTGCAGATATACACACTGTGTCATACATAAATGAATATGGAATAACAGTTTGTTTCTTATTATCACCAGGGTGTTTTGCAAGTTCATACATATATAACCATGTTATCTAGAAGGAACGCTTAGACGTCTATCGAACTTCCTCAATGACGGGTGATAAGGATTATGCTTATTTGTACCCATAGTTGTGTTAGGGTATGTGGTGCAGGTAAGACAACATCTTATCCTTAAACCTTGTACTTGAAAGGGACATACGACTATATAACAATAATTGCAGGAATCGACCACCGTTAGTTGTTCGCTCAACTGGGACGCCAAATGACCCACCTTATTATTTCTCAACATGATTTAGAATATCTGCTTCAGTGTTAACACTGCCTGAAACGACTACTATGCTTGTCCCTCGCTGGCTTAAGACCAGAAAACTTTCTATAAAACTCATCATCTACTTCATGCGAACTGCAGTGTGTAGAATCATATGCAGAAAAAACGAAAAAGTAACTGAACAATTTCTCATCTTTCTGAACCCTAACTACACCTCTTAAAGGGATAACTCATAAGAGACTTAAAGCAATTAGTCCCTTTGATAAATTTCGATAATGTTATAAGAAGACGGAGATTATCAGAACTATGTGATATATTAGCGCAATACATTTCGAACAATCTGATCACACGGTTGATCTAAACTCGGCTTTTGTGGTATCATATAAAAGTGTAAAAGGGAGTATACTAAGGTTTATTGAAGCCTTAGCCATACGAAAATTCAAACCCCCTTTGCGTATTCAAAAACAGTTTGTTCTTACCTTAAACCTACCCTGGTAATATTGACTTATTATCCAGAGTGATTAGGTTTTGAATTGTGTTCAGATTATTATTATTATTATCCTTATCTCCTCTTACCCCATTTCCAGTCTAGTTGACCTTCTATTTTTATATATAAATGCTCTTAACAAGTATATGTGTGATCGAAATGCATTGCGCTAATATATCACATTGTTCTGATAATCTTCGTCTTCTTATTACATTATCGAAAATCACTTCAGTTAATGTTATGTAAACTCAAAAGCAAAATCGTTAAAAATATTACATCATACGAAGAGCTCATTCTCTTCACCGTCGTCCACTTTGCTGTCGAATTCCAATGCATATCTTAGCCTATACCACATGTCAAACTGCGAAAAGGGCAAAGATTTAGTTTAAAAAAACACAAAGAAAACGAGAGGATTTCTGTAAGCTTGAGACTGAAATCAGTAAGCATTTAACATACATTATGAAATAAACCCAATTTACCAACCAGTTAGGAAAATCAAAAGCAATTAAGTAATCAAGAACCAGGACAACATAAACAAAATAAATGTGCAGAAAATAGTGAGATGAGTTCAAACAATGATCAACCAAATTGGAGGTAGACAGAACAAGTTATTAATAGTTACTTGTTGATAAATTCTTTAACTAAACTTTCTTCTAAAGTTTGTACTGATGTTATCTAGAAAAAACATTGACAGCTTAATGATTAAGCCACTCAGCTCAGGTAACGCGATTACAACAAGAATACATCTTAGTGAAACTAACCCTTCACAATGACGTTTGACAATATTGTTGTAGTTGAAGATAATATACCAGAACTATATATTCAACCTGATGAAAACTGAACAGAATATTCTAAAACTTCGAAACGTCATTAATAAACGTTAGTTTGTCGATAAGTATAAAGAGGTGAGAAAGAAAATTTTATAGTAAATGACAGTTTTGCACAATATTTTCCTATTTCTTCCTCAATGTGAATAAGTATAGTTTTGTTTGACTTAATGTGCTAATAATGAAAAAAACCTTATAATATTTTCTTACTTGTAGTTACTCGGTTTAAATGGTCCTGTTTTATTTACACCTAAATATCGAGCTTGTTCATCAGTGAGTTCAGTTATTCGGCCGTTGAACAATGGAAGATGCAATGTTGCCACATATTCATCTGTAGTATTAACAAAAAAATATGGTTAAATTAATACAATCTACATTAACAACTATGAGCTTTTCGAAACGTGATATTTTAGAATAACGATACTATTTACAGAAAAAACACGAGAAAAAACAAAAACAATGAAGAATAATACACTCTTATAACAGTTTACGCCTCTATATGAACTAAGCACTGATAATATTGACTAGAATGACAATAAAATCACTGCAGACTAAATCATCTAGCTCAGAGAATACAACAATGCCACTTGCAGTAAAACAACAACAACCTCGATATTGTTTACAAAACCGGAATTTCGAGTTAATTACTAATCAATCGATTAAATATTGTCAAGTTTCAATTGGAAGTGAAAGGCTTGGTGCAGACTTCAGTTCCACAAAGTCATTTATGTCATTTGGTCAAAAAAAGCACACGTTTATGATAATACGACAAAATATAAAAATATCAAAAGTCATTTTTCACGTTCTATTACATCAATTGATTCATTTCAGAAAATCACGAATCTTGTGATAAATTGACTTCGTTCATATTATCTGTTTCCTTTCAACGAATAAAAAACAACTGATTATAGTTTATATATTTTAGACAAACTAGAGTTTAGATGGGTGAACTCATCATGATATGATTTTGTCTACTATTGTTAGTGAAGCATGTTAAAAGCGAATTAAATACCATACACAGAAAACATATATTCAAGCTTTTCAGATGATATATTGATAATCCCACTAAATGATCTTAGCCGTTTGTTTAATACTTACATTCTATTTGATCAAAATATTTCATATGTTGGGATCATCGAATGAGCAATGTTGATGTTAAGCATAAGGTGAACATGACAAACCGGTTGATGAGGTGTGGTGAATCTCCGTAGACTGAGTTGATTAAGACATGTAATAAAGCTTGCCAAACACAGTGAAGAATTCAGAAAGTAACACATATTTTATCCAATCAAAAAAATAATAAAATTAACCTAAAATGTCTTTGTACACCAATAATGGAGAAACATTTAGAATTTATATAACAAAAACCTAACAACTTTGTTAAGTGAAATAAAAATGAAACAAGGAAGTAGGACAAACTAAAATTAATATTGAATTATATAATATGACTTTCTAGCTTATATCCACATTTTCTCTTTTTAATAAATAACACAGTGGAATAATGAATAAACCTTAATCTAAACAACAACAAAAACAACTCTTGTTTATCAGAGAAAACAAAACAATGAGATGATCTTGTAGAGCGAATGAAAAAAAACAACAGAAAACATGAAAAAGTTAACAGAGAAGAGAATCTGACCACACCTAATGAATTTTTCGTCCTAAAAGTATGAGCTCGAAAAGAGAATTTAATTTAAACTTGACAAAAAAATACCTAGATAAAACAAAGGCAAGGGAAGACAAACAATAATAAGAAGTGAAGTAAACAGGTAGATATAAATAGATTTCGTCGTTCAACTAAAAAACGAATTATTGTAATTGGTCACGAACAAGTAAAAATATTATTTTCAGTCAAATAAAAATGAGTATAGGAAAAAAACACTAAATGAGTGAAGAAGAGCTTGAAGGCATCCATACATTCAAAACATCCCCAATTTTAATTAACTGTTATAAGGAAGACAGTATGCAAGTTATTTGTGAATAATATAGTTAGCAGAATGTTTCTCATATAGACTGGTGACTTTTATCAGTTTTAACCTTCGATTCATAAGTACACAATTTCATAAAGTATATCATTTAAAGGACCAGGGTCATTATTCATATATATATATATATATATATATATATATATATATATATATATTCATGGGTACTGAATTTTTAAGTTTCAGTAATAATGTTTCCAACATACACTTAATCTTCTCTGCATAGACAATTTGGTGAGTACTAAGAAGTATGTATTAATTGCTGAATCAAACTTCTAAAACAGAGATACGACTTGGAGTAAATTTTAAACATAATACAGACAATCACTTAATTGGTCGTGTTCATGCAAACAATGGATTCAACCTGTCGACCTTTCACGCCTTCGCATAATCAACATAAAATAATGCACCATAATGTACACGAAAAGTTACCGTTCAATAGTATAAGATTTAGGAACAGATCATCAAACGTATTTTTTTACTATAAGCAAAAAACAAACAAACACATGAACATAGTAAACAGTTACAATAATTAACATGAACCATCACTTACCCATTTTTTTCGGTAATAAATATACATCATTTTTATAACGACCAGCAGGAGCATTGTACAATTCAATCAAAGCTAATATCTGAATAAAAATTATACAAATCAATAGAGTAAATGAATTTCAAATATTTTTCTCAAAAAGAAGAAAACATATGTTTTGTTTAATTTTACAAATTTTATGATCAAACATATAATTTTAAGTTTTTGGTTGAGATCATGAACCGATTGATATTAGACCACCGTTGGAAACCTGGAAGCACTGGAAGGCCGTTTCGTCCTGTTGTGTGACTCTTCAGCAGTGCGTATCCACGATCCCGCTCGCGGGATTCGAACCCAGGGCCTTCAGTCTCATGCGCAAACACTTAACCTACTGGATCACTATTGAATTTTTTACAAAAAACAGTGGAATTATTCAAATAAAGTGAAATTTGCATAACAGAACAAAAAACTTATAATAAATACATAATATAATAATAAAAGATATGCACTTCATTCCCTTATCTTATCCTTGAATAAATAAACAGAATAGAATAGCATAAATGGTTGATTTACATTCAGTACATACAGCAGATAAAATCACAAATTAAACATGCATAATATTGTTTCTATTATACAATATTTACATGATAGTATTGTTGAAATATTAATTTACATTGTGTATTTCTTTTTTCTTGTAAAATTTCGTTAGAAATCATGTAAAACTTACTACATGAATTCATAAGTATTAAAACTATGACTAATTTTATTTGGGTCATAAGTTTGATGTTTGTTTGTTTTTCTTGATATGGGCATATGTGAATATAAGATTTGTTACACTTACACACACACACACACACACACAAAGAAATGAATTCAAATTTTTGAATAAGTATTAAACGCTGCCAGATAACTAGTACTTTTTCGAATTAATTGATACAATAATACAATAAATGTCCTATGTATTAAAGTATATTCATAGAACAGAGAGATCGTGACTAGCAGTGAAATCTAGGATACCAACCGACGGATCGAAATTCATTTTAAGATCGTTAACAAAAAGATAATTTAAATCATTTCTTACTATGATATAAGTGGTAAATATATTGTCGAAAATGATATTCACGAATCTATAATGAATTACTTTTTGTACACGGTTATTATTATTACTATTATTATTCGCCAAAATTTTTGGCCAGTTGAACCAAAAAATCTTTGCGGAATAAGCATTCTGCATCATTTACAGGTTATATAATTGAACAGAATGTCTCAAATCTGATTGGTCATTTCCATATTAGACTACACAAGTCACTGTAAACTTACATTCTGACAAAAAAGTTTGTTATACGATGAAATGTTCTTTTCCAGCACAGAATGTCAATCATCAAAATTAAGATTACAAAAATCAGAACAAAGTGCTCATACTAGTTTGCTATAGATAATTAAAAAGAGGCTCTTGAAGATATGGACGTGTGGAGTACATATCATTCAGTAACAAGCGATAATTTATGATTGTTTGCTTACTAAACTAGATAGATCAGTTTCACTGTGTGAAGTATGAAAACTCATGTTTCCAGGTAACTTCGACTCTAGTAAGAAAAGCTAATCAAATAAAGTTAAAATATCAAAATGAATTAAATAAGCCATGAAAATCTAATGACTATCATTTTGTTTAGATTTATCTAACAATTAAATGTTCATTTTCAAGTTCTTATAGTGACAAGAACATATAGTTTAAAATCGGATCATTAGGATAAGAATACTTGTATGTATTAAATGTTTTTACCATGAAAAAAACATGTGAAATTATTTATACAGTACAATTACCAGGTACAAATCACCTTATCACTTAAGCTAACAATACTGAGTAGTTTGGTAACTTCAATCAAATGATACTGAACATATGGTAATAAAGTTAGAGAACAATTATCCAAAATAATGAACTCAATGTATCACAAACTAACTTGAGTACTGGCGCTAACAGAGACAACAATCGATGGAACAGTTGAACAGCTTAAATTCGCCAAACGACCCTGGAAGAACAAGACAATTATCATAAAGTACAAATAAATTCTAGTAGAATCAACCTTGTAAATAAGTTTAAAAAAGTAACAATTGAAACCTACTTTCACCTAAAGAAAAAGCCTGATACACTGTTCAGTTTGCAAACCCCATTAGCACAATGAAACAAAATAACAAGATGAATTGCAAAAGAGGTGGGAATAATGTAGTAGTAATTATAATAGGAAAGACTAATCACTGCGAATATGCTTTGAGAAGACAAGGTGGAAAGGTATGAATGAAGGAATACTGGAGTCTACAATAGACAGGAATATAAAGAGTGGGTGAATGTGTAACATTTTAATCGACACTATATCAACAGACTGCAGATATTTCGCGGACATTACCCAGGTAGTCTGCACCTATCAAAAATGGATCAAACCAACAGTCAATAACTTCATGGACTGATACTGATACTACGTTTTGGTTTGACCATCCTATTAAAGATATCAAACAATGAAGAAAAAAATAAACCCATAGTCAATTAATAAAAAATGATTGTAAACGAAAACAGAAATAACATTTCGTATAAAAGACATGCTCTAACCTCAGCTATAAGAACAATACGTTTACCATCCATCCAAATAACATGATCCACTTGTGATCGAACACGCTCCCATGTTAAATCAGGTGTTTGAAGAGATCGCTAAACGATTAAGAGATTGGAACAAATATGAGGTATATTATAAAGATAATATTAATGCATTGTTGTCTGAAATTAATATGTTAAATAACCATATGATCTTTGTATTTTGAAACAACTCAAATGAGACGTAAAGTTCCGGACAGAAATTAGTACGTTACTAATCATATATCATTTAGTACGTGTCGCAGAAATGATTACACCATAGCACAAGTATACATATGAAAAATCGCGTCTGATTACTGGGATAAATTAAGATATATCAACTAAATTGCGTTATATATATGTACTAACTAATTTGATGAATATATGAAAAAGTTAGTACAAGGGGGCACTTTTCCTAAACAAAGCAGCGATGCTCCTCCAACAGAATTTAATAATCACTGAATATGACAGTGAGCACTATCACTCGTATCGTTTCGAAAGTCTTTGAATGACTCAGTTATAAAAACACATTTAATAACTAATCACAACTGAAAAATACCAGAAAAAAATTTAATAATATACCTAGACAACAATTTTTTACAAAATGGAATTTACTTGGATAGATTTCTAAGAAAATCTAAGTGATTTTATACGTACATGCATGATTTTCTCGAATTTTCAGTATAATTCCCCTCTGAGGTCAAAAGATCACGTAAGTGGAATCAGCCAATCAACCCTTGGTTTTAGCATATCGTTTATTATAATTATCTTTACTTACATGCATTTCATTGGTATCGACCTTTAAGTCTAAATGTAAACCTGAGCATTGGTGTTGAGCCATAATGAGATGCTAACTGACAATAAATACTTCTCTGCTCAAGTTGTACACTTAACTAAATTAAATCATATAGTCTATTAAGTTTTCGATAAGCTGAAAAATTAAATAAGTTTATAAGCTTGTAATAATAAATGATAAAGCTACTACCGGAAAACAAGCTAAGAATTCCGAAGTACCTAGGCTGTATTTATTTGAAATGTTAGTTATAAGTTGGATAAGCTGATAGAAGCATCATAGACTTTCGTGACTAAGATATAAGGACAAAACCCTATTGGTTATTAATTATGATTCAAACATTTACATAGTTATCAATGAATGTCAACAACAAACTAAATTAGCCAATATTGTTCACTTCAATAAAATACAACTACTAAGTTGAATTTCTCGATTCACGAGTATGCAGTAAATACAAATGTTCCCTATTACTGATTAAATAAAGACTGGGAAATTTATAACGAAATGTGTTAGATTAGAGCTTAATATTGTTATTTTATACAATGAATAATTGACATTTTCTTATTTTGACTATATATAGGCGAAAAATATTATAATTGATCAGATAACTTTTGATAAAATATTGATAAAATGTTTACTGAAATCATGAACTGCAAATCTATGTAAATGTATAGTAATGAAATTGTTTTCACCTAAAAACATTTGTACGAAATTAAAGTGTAAGTAAACACTTACAACATCGATTTCGGTGTTAGAATGACCCATATTGCATACGACACAACCATTTTTCATTTGATCCATATGGGACCGAGTAATGACACCTTTATTTCCAGTGCAAGTAACGACAATATCCACTGAACGTATAACCTCGTCGATTTTTACAACACGATAACCATCCATGCTTCGAAGTAAACAGAAAGACAAAAATAAATAGAAATTCTGAGAAATCATAAGCTATTATTTATAACACCGGCATTCTAGGAAAACCTGAATCATTTTAACTAAAAAGCATTCGCGGAATGTTGTTTAAAGACCTTGTTTGATTCTGAAGTTACTCAACAGTATATATATATATATATATATATATATATATATATATATATATATATATATATATAACCTGATCAGATTGATGATTAATGACTAAAAGAAGCTACATTGTCATCCCAGCAACCATAGAATTGATAAAACAGCTGAAACTTGACTTCAGTCAATAATCCTATCATTTATGGAGGTTTATGAAAACTTTTAAATGCAATGGAGATCACGTACAGACCTAAACTAGACACTATTAGATGTCAAGCTCTCACCTGAAGATCCTGGGTTTGATCCCCAGCAAGATCGTGGATGGACACTGTTGACGAGTTTCATACTAGGACTAAACAGCTATCCAAAGCTAATTGATTTTCAATGGCTGTTTAACTTAAGTCGGTTCGTGTTCTCCATAACAAAGTTACTATCTGTTAAAAAATTTTCACCTGGCTCTTTCAATTTGCACAATAAGTAAGTGCTTAAGGTCAAAAACATTGAATTTTGAAATTATTGTGCTCGATAAGAGATTAGAATGTTATTTTCTCAATCATGTGGTGTAAATCGGGAGTACCATTTCAAACCAAGACCTAACGGCTATCTAATGTCAGCTTTTATTCGAGGAATGTCTATTTGATATAATTGGTTCAGGACAAAAATTACTTCAAAATAAAACTAAGGGAAAAGTTCACCCAAAAGGCACAACTCGAACTTTCTATGGAAATGCATCGAATCTTGTGAGAGAAAATAAATATCTTTAGCTTACCAAGCTTGAAGAGCACAGATTGGATCTATTTCCGAAATACAAACGAAAGCTCCTAATCCTCTTAACGCTTGACAAACACCTTTCCCAACTTCACCATAACCGCATACTAATACAGTCTTACCACTGATCATCATATCTGTAGTTCGTTTAAGACTGAAAGAAAGAACAGTTATGAAGATTTGTATGAAAATTATGCAATAACAATCACCACTACTATACTTTTATTCATTACCTATTTAAACACATAAACTTTGATACGAGAAGTTATCAAATATATATGCGCCACAGAAATCCTTCGATTTGTGTGAGGGCTGGGACACTACTCAGGCGCCCAAACCTAGTCAGGTGGTTTTCTTGGGGGCATTTCCCGCACCTTTGACCTAGAGGTCTAATTCATAATGCACTGTAGCGACGTCAGGAGATTCAGTGTCATGGTAGCCGGTGACCAACAATAAATTCGTACGCCATTTGTTCCCTTAGGATCCTGGAGCGCATGTGCACTATTGATTTGGAATCAGGATTTTCCAACTCCCCTGTTAAAGTGCCGAACATTCGCTTTTCATCCTTTCAATTTCGTAAACAACACCGCCGCCACGAGAAGGCAGTGAATAGGACTTCCCTGACAGTGGTTGTATACGCGTGACCACGTGAGAGATGACTATCCCTAAACTAGGCCGAACTAGGGCATGACATTTAATGGAGAACGGAAAACTATTTCAATTCCTTACATTAATTGGTCTGAAATGAAGCGACACTTGATATGAACTACTTAGGTTGGCTGAGATTTTAAAACTTTATTTGACGGATTTCAGTTGCCTAAAATATTTCGAAAATTATGGCTAAAGTAGATCACCATAGATGAATAGTCGAAATTTCGGTATCACTTTTTGATATAACCACTATGAAACGGGTTTTCTCGACTGTAGCTAGAATAGTGAAGAGAATGTCCACTAGTAACTAGCAAAAAGCGAATATGAGACAACTTCAAATCAGAAAAGCTGTACCTTACTGGCTCTAGACATAAAGTGATTAAATTATTGATTTGGCTAAATACAAATAGAAAAGTTTCGGGCTGAAGATTAACCCCCAAGATGTCTAGCCGAACTTGGTTTTATTTTATTATTTATTGATTTGAACACGTAAATATTGGTACAAGGAGGGCACCAGATACATATGCGCCACACAATAACAATGAGAATGTGAAGAGATAAAGAATGTAACGTTCGTGTAAGGAAAAGGGGAATAATAAGGAACAGAAACTAGTGTGTGATAGCAAAGATACAACCAGAAAGAATTATTCCAGTTACAGACGCTACGTTTATTTTTTATGAATAAAGTAAACGAAAGTCAATGCAAGTTCACCACCGGCTTCTATTCTGAGCCATATTTGATAACGTCTCTAGCCACTGTGACGTACCATCTCTAGGACTCCAAAAAGGGTGTCTCGAGGGACCAACAGAAGCCAGTCCTGTACAGCATTCTTTCATACCACAACACCATGCCATACACTGAACACCTTGTAGCAAGCCCATTCCACTAATGTATTATTTGTCTACCCCACTGTGTTAATTTCCATATGAGTATGATTGAGTGTGTGTCTGCACTTCAACCCTATTCTATTCCCCCATTTGTTCAGACACATAGATAATCAATAATTTATCTACACTGGATTAATACTCAAATATATATATGGATTTTTAACAGACACACACTTTGATTTTTGTCTCACTCGGTGCTTGTTTGCTGTATGCTTGCGGATTTTACCAAGCTTTAACCATAAACTATCTCTATAACTGATGTTTGGGTTTTTGAATGATCTCGAGTAAATCGATAATTCTACTAGGAGATTAAGCCTGCAATAAATGCTCAGTTAATGAGATATCTTTTATTGGAGTCGGATATTAGAGGTAATTTATCTCAACAAACTTGGTTAAGCTCTACAACCTCTCCGCTTTTTCCAACCAATCCCAAAGTCGGCAAATTATGCACAATGTGGAATTCTTTGGGACGACATTCGTAGAACATGTCCAAGCCACTGAAGTCGATGTTTCAAGGTAGTGACACCAATTGAATTATCGTCGCTGTGTCCGAACACACGATGTCAAACCTCTGCATTACTGACATGGTGTTGCACTGGATGTCAGCAATCCTTTAGAGATAGCGATTATCAAACACAGTCATCTGACATCCTCAACTCGGAGAGGCCAGGTTTCACAACAGAGAACGAAACTGCTCTCATCGACGGCTGTAGATCCGACCTTTTGCAGCCAGACTAGTATCACGAAGGCGCCAAAGATGGCCCAGAATGGCATAAGCCACCACCAGCACTTACACAGCTGCCCAGATACACGAACAACACAACTTCTATCCGCTCACTGTCCAGGGTGAGTGCAGGATCAGGGTACTTCCAGTCTTGTAAAGTACTTTGCACTTAGAAAGTGCAAAGCACATACCATACATACGGACACTGATTGCCAACTGATTAAGTGCGGATTGCATGGCTTGGGTATTCTCGCACAGTAAGACAATATCATCCGCATACTCAACGTCGAGAAGTCTTTCTCCAGGCAACAGATCCACACCACCATTACTTACATCCGTCAGAGCTGTTTCCAGAATGTCATCGATGGCAAGGTTGAAGAGGAATGGTGAGATTGGGCAACCCTGTCTAACCCCACTGCTCGAATGGAACAATAGAGAAAGGTGGTTGTATGCCCTCACTCTGCCTGAGGTGTTTGTGTATAGGGCCTTTAAGATGTTAATAAACTTCTCAGGTACACCCTTTTTTAATAGACAATCCCAGAGAACAATCCTGTCCAACGAGTCGAAGGCAGACCTGATGTCAAGAAACTCTAAGATTGTTGGCTTGTGAAATTCGCTATTTCTGATCTGAAGACCGAAAATTTCAAAACTTCTAAAATTACGTTATTACAGTGTTATACGATAGTAAGACTGAAAGAACACCCTTGAAGACCAAAGTAGCTAACGTAACTAGACTAGGCTCATTTCGGATCATTCGAATAATTCCCAATTTTCGAATTAGTTGTGGCGTTGACGCAATAGATCATATTGTTGATAGTTTCATCAATCGGTGCCAATACCAGTACAACAAGAATGTCTTCCATGTTTTAATACCCGGTAAGTTCGGTTTTTCAGCAAAGACCACATTCATTAACTTCAAATTTTCAGCTGTATAACAAATGCAGACGGAGATATGAATAAAGTTGCAAGATAGTAATTTGTTTAATGATATGAAATGCCTACTGTTAATTACATTGTAGGTAACATATATTATTATTCCAAACTGAGGCAAACGGACTAAGCAACATTATTTAAGATTTAACTGAGTACTCCCGCTGAATTCGGAATTTTTCAGTTATATATCATAAAGATCAGGTTTAATGAATTAGGCTTCTATTCTACAACTTAAAGCTCCACACACATATCCAAGATTTTCTAAAAAATCAGTGGTTTGTAAGGCCTATTGTATTAATTAATAGAGATTTAAAACATTGTAAGCTGCAAAACTTGTCAAATCGAGATGTGGTTTCGAAAGCATACATAAGAGGCAGTGTGCAAGTATTAACCGTAAAAGTAAAAAGTGAAAATGAAAAAAAAATGGTTGAAGACGATAGAGGTGTGTCGTTGGATGATAAATACACCTAACCTTAGATACAGTAGAAGTGTTAATGGGATTTGGAATGTCATGGAATCACATGAAAAATATATATTCGAAGCTACTGAAGAATTAATGTTAACAATATTTCAGATTTCTTGGAAATTAGTCGGGTATCTAATCCCAAAATGCTCTATATATCATGAAGTATATATTGTTGTATGGTTTCATATGATGGTATCAAAACTTACGAATCAACAATTGATTCTTTGCATAAATAGAAATTATCGAATTTTGACTTTGTTATACTATCGCTAATATTCATAGCCGGCACTCCCAATGTGCCAGATTTCACGTACTGATAAAGACGATGAACACCTGTCACACTTTCTTCAACTATTCCACATATACCAGACAGTAATTCCTTGTAATTTTTATGCAGCTGATGAGTTAAGTCCCCACCATCATCTAAAACCTGAGAGATGAAATGGAAAAAAATATGAAAAATCAGAATAAAGGATTAATTTGTTTGAAATGGAAAATCCAGGATTCCCATGGTGGTCTAGCTTCAACTGACTCATGATCTTAACCATTGGAATTAATATAATATCCACAAAACCCATTTGATATAAATCTAATATATCTTAGAAACACAAATTGGTTAGAAGTAATCAAAGTTGTTTTGAAATCACGAACTAATTCAAGTTAGAAAACCAGTGGAAACCTAGGAGCACCGGACGGCCGTCTGATTTGCGTATAGGATTCCTCAGCAGTGTGTCCACGAAAATCTAACATGATCAAACAAAATGGACCATTAATGTAAAACACTTCAACAGTGACATAATCACAGAGAAGTAAGATGAGAGGGGTAGTCTTTACAAATGAGCTTGTTTCGATGAAGAGCAGTCAAATTGATGAACAACAATGTATGACCAGTGTTTACATGAAATTTAGAAAAACTCCAAAGCAGTTCACTAATTATTATTATTATTTGAAAACATAGACATTGGTACAAGGAGGCACCAAATACATATGCGCCACACAAATTTCATTTGATTTGTGTGAGGGTTGTGATACTGCCCGGGTGCCCAAACCGAAGCAGAAGTTCACTAAAAAAGAAATTGATATAGAATACCCAATAGTAAGAAACGTCAAATACAATCCCTAGTTACGATTTAGAGTCATGGTGGTAAGTTGAAGCGCAGAAGTAACAGTATAAAATATTATTAATGCTTTTGGGATCACTGTAGTACATATATTTGAGAGCTTAAAATCTATAACCCTCATTCAACTTTACACATAAAGAAAACTATTTATCAAACAAAGAAATTTATATTTATTTTGAAAATGTTGGTAATATGAAACGAACTAAGATTAAAATACTATATGATATGATGATCACATTGACAAGAAAATGTTAACTGCGAACTAAATTTGCATAGCATATTATCAACTGCACGAAGAAAATATACTGAATTCATTCAACCAGTGTTTGTAGCAAAAAGTATTGTAATAGAAATGTTAATCACAGACAGACATATAAATAATTCACTAGATATTTGAGTATGAGCCCAAAGAGAAATAGGTGGTGCAGGGTTCGAATGGGTAAACCACTAAGCGACAGTTCCACACACTGGTATATACAAAGTATGCAGTGATATAAAACCCATATGTTCAAGTTGTTGCACTTCATAACATAAAAACGACAAGATATGTAGTGTGTGAGTCTGAGATAAACCTTGTTTGGGTTATATAAATTAGGAAATGAAGACAACATAACCTAACGGTATAACAGATGACAGCGTGCTGATCATGCCCATGCGAGTATCTAGATAGATAGACTACAAAAACTAATTGATTTTTTAAAGTTTATTTGGTATAAATTTAAGTTAAATTTATCATAGTAAACGTGTTTATTTCCGTACTTTATTCGAAGTGGTACTTTTTCACTGGTTTGTTTTACTGCGTCAACACTGTATATAATGCTGCAAATTTCATTACTGAGATCAAGACTCTGAATGTATTTATTGCAAAGATTACGTCATATAGCCAACATTATTTTCTTTGGACTAGACAGTAAGTTTAACCTTTGAAATTTGTGATGAATGGATATTCGGCTTGCAAAACAAAACCTGGATTTTGTTCATCTACGTGAGATCAGTTTTATAGGTATGATAATAAGTAATCCCAGTCTAAGAATATGCAAATGTACGATTAGTTTTGTAGTATATATATTGTGTTGGCCGTTAGATTAAGACTTTTATGTTTAGCACTTAAAACTAAAAACGATCATATCAATAAAACTAACGGCACACCAAAACTACAGAAACACAATGATGGATCATGTTAGTTATCAGGATACCTAGTTTTACAACAAATTGATTTATTCAATTATTCTGATGTTTTCAAAATAGTGTTGTTGAACCGAATGAATGATTCAGTAGACACCCAGCTTTGAGATCAACAGGCTGGATTCCGTAAACACCGGTTGTGCATAAACGAAATAGCGACACTAGAGATCATCGTTGAACGATCAATTGAATGGAACTAGCTACTAAACATCAACTTCCTTGATTATGAGAAGACATTTGACGGTGTAGATAGGAGAACATTATAGAAACTTCTTCGACACTATGGTGTACTTGAGAAGATCCTCAACATCATAAGGAATTCATACAAGCTACAGTGCAAAGTGGTGCATGAAGGACAGTTGACAGATGCATTCCAAGTGAGGACCAGAAGGCTGCTTACTCTCACCCTTTCTCTTTCTTCGGGATTATGAAAACTTCCATATCTGAAAGGAAGAGCGAAATCAACTAGACAATTTGAGGAGTCCCTGTTTAAACCAGACAGGCGTTCAATGCTTCTAGGTTCTCAATAGCTGTCTACCTAAGTTCTTTTAACTGAAAATGTAAAATGTTCGAGCCCCTGGAATCTAACTAGCAGACAGTGTTACGAAAATTTAAACATTATGAAAACTAAATTAAGTTAACAAGATAAAACATGTAGCCGTTACAGCCGTGAAGTAGATCTATCGTATATATTTGAATAGTAACCACGACCAGTGGAGCTAATCCGAGTCGGGTAGAGACAGGTATCTACCTCAGTACGATGGAAGATGGTCGCGCAATTACGTAGATTGTTTGAGGTTAAACATTAACACCGTTGGATAACGGCTCAGTGGTGTAGAGGTCAGGTGTTCGCGCGCGAGACCGAAAGTCCTGGGTTCGAATCCCGCGAGTGGGATCGTGGATGAGCACTATTGAGGAGTCCCACAATAGGACGAGACGGTTATGCAGTGCTCCCAGGTTTTCAATGGTAGTCTAACGTCGATCAGTTCATAATCTCAATCAAAAACTAAATAATCTCCACAACTACATACTGAAAATCCGGTATAATTAATACAGTGGGCAAATCTTAGTGTTTGAAGTAAGAATCATTTAACGCGAGATTTTTTATCGTACAAAAATACTTATCATTTATAATTAGAAAAAATACTACTAGCCCGAACCTAGACCATTTAAACAAGAATTATTTTACATTTGTATCGTAAGACCTATACATGTTACTGTACTCAATGTTTATGATCAACTTGATCAGAAACACAAAAATGGAAATTATTAGATAAAGCAAGAGTAAAATGAAGATTTTTAAAAGGATCAAAGATCAACTGAATTTATTGACAACTTTTAAAACTGTTAAACGTATCATTATAAAACTGAACTTGTGATCTTTTTCTAAAGAATAAAACATCATTTATTTTTCCCAAAGATTCTGTTGTAAAGTTATCCGCCTTTAATAATTTAGTTGTAAGTTTATTTCGCAAATATACCAACAATAAGGCTACTTTGTTCATCAATATCTTTCTGCATTAAACTGCGACAGAAAGAATTAACAACAACTCAATTATTTCCTCGCAAAGAAAAAGAAATATAAACCATTTGTGAAAAAAGTTTCCCTTTTCAAGTACATAATCAAAGATGTTAAGTTCCACGTTTCTTAAACATACCAAATAAATACGTCTCTCATGAAAAAACACATAACCCAACTCAAAACAACAAAAGATTAGGAAAAATGTTACATATATCAGATAAAATCCAACAAACAAAATAATAAGTAGAAAGGATAAAAACATCTGACATACTACATTGGGTGTCCAACCTTCAGCAGATATACAACGATTAATACACCACCAGAAATCCTCTTCAGTTTCGCCTTTCCATGCATAAATAGGAACACCCGACTCAGCTAACGCTGCTGCTACTTCATTCTACAAAAAAAATATTTTAGTGGTAATAAACACAATTAAACAGTATTACCAGTGTTAATACGATAATTACAATATCAACGAACATTAAAAAGCTGAAAAGTCTTAGGCATACAAAGATGATCGTCATGTAATTATTACTGGGAAAATAAAACTAATAATAGTGAAAAGTAGAAGCATTAGAACGGCTGCTAAGTTAAGATAATTCAGAAGAAATGCGTTCATTAAAATTATCTTATATATTTTTGTGTTATTTATAAGTACGATACGAAAATACTATAGAACAGTCAAAATTAAAAGATCTCATATTTCTTAGACTACGACTCTGCCAGTCAATGATAACAAAGAAAAGCTGGAAGATATTAACTTTTAGTTGTTAAATGATTTATTATAAGGTAATTTTAGTACGTCTTAATTTAAAAATAATTAGAATGAATCAATGGAAAGAGTATTGAACAGCATAGTTCCATGATTCATCACATGACAATAGAAATAGACTAACAATAAATCCTCTTTGACATCACATTTGAATACTATGCATAAACTATTAAATACATGAATGTTCCTTATTTTGCAAGGAAACAACACAACTTTGATCTAGTGAGTTGTGTTGTTTGCTCATACTCATTTATAAGTTGTAACTTAAAATTTATAGATTGATTTGAAACCATCAAGTTATTAAAACACATGACACTGTCCTGGTATGATATCATATAATAATTGAACTGTTTTTCATAATCAACAGAGCACAATGACAACTAATGATTGGTGGAGTAACAACAAAGACTATAATAATCTGGAAACACAACAAATGTATCATTAGACTTCAGTTGATAAATTCAAATAAATAAGGCATTGGGTAAATTGTTAACTAAAAAAGTAATATATTTGTAATATCTCAATGGATTAGTTGTGAGTTTATTTTGAAAATATACCCACTTTAATCAAAAATATAAAAACGATAAGATTTTGCACAAACGAGGGTATTTTATTGCTTATCATCCTTCTGCATTAAACATTTCTTCTATTCATTAGGACATTAAAAATATATTAATTCTATTACTAATCCATTATTAAATATCAACACCTGAAAGGAAGAACAATCTTTTCAACAAATTTTCTTCAGGTTCCACAACTGTACATATCCAGGTTAATAATCTGTGGCCAAGTTTAAGGCAAAATACATCTAAGATATATTATTTATTCTGACCATTAATCTTACAAATTCATTTAATGTATAAGCTTATTCAAGTTAATATAGGATTTCAATAGTTAAATTCATGAGACTACCATTAAAAACCTGGAAGCATTGGACGGCCGTTCCGTCCTAGTACGGAACTCCTCAGCAGTGCTCATCCATGATCCCACACGAGGGATGCGAACCCAGGACCTTTGATCTCGAGCGCAAACGCTGTGGGAATAACCTCAATCGCCACAAATTTACATGTTGATAACATTAGACATTAGTCATTTCGATATTCACAATTTATCTTATCTTCCAAAAGATCCTAAATTTTGTGTGTTATAAACTTATTTTGTTTTAAACCTAGCCATTTTTTGAACTATTAACTATATATAATTGTAAAGGAAGAAAATTTATCGAAAAGCATATCCTTCGTTCATATATTATTGAATAGTATTGATATAGAGAAATATTACAAACTAGTACTTCACATTGAAACGTAAGTTTCAAATGATTATTCCGATAGAAATACACAATAATTGCTTCAACAAATATACGTTTTGATCAACAAATAACTATCAAATTGTAACGAAACAATACATATATATTTAACTGATTATCAGAACAAATTAATTTATGAAGAAACTACTGACTCGACAGTACATATGTATTTGGCATTAATAAATCGTCTGGTAGAAATATTTTTTTGATAAAAAAAAATCATTTAAATAAGTCAGTTTTCATCATTATTGCGCACAGTATGTGATATAAACTAAATCATGAAGTCCAACAATCAAATAGAAGTATATGAAATATGTCAGTCAATCAGTGAAACAATATTTTGTCGATGCCTATTTTTCAACATCGAAACTTGTGACTGATTTTACGTTTGTGAAACTTTTTCACTGAATAATTTTCAAGCAAAAGATATTTTTAGACACAGTAGAGTAGACAGCTAATAGACGAAATGAAGACTTATTGACATAATTTGTTGGTATCTAGCAGACATTAACTCTGAATTATTTTATTCATTACATCAACATATGAAATAGAAATTTCTACGTTTATGATTACGAATTGTACGAATCAAGTAGTAAATTACTTTACAGAAAAAAACTACATACAACGAATCTTTTAAACATGTACAATGTAAAACTATTGAAAAAGAAACTTTCCTAACATGGCAAATATATAAAAGCACAACTATGGCTTACCTGTGTTGAATATATGTTACAAGCACACCATCGAACTTGGGCGCCAAGACATACCATTGTTTCAAGTAGTACCTAATTGATAGAAAAAATCTCTTTAAATGAATAAAATGTGCATTTGAACAAAAACGCAGAAATAAGAATAATTAATATAGAGAAGATTCAATGGATTGTCATCATCAGCTAATCCTTTTCGAAAAACAAAATGATAGAAGTACAAAGAAAAATATCATTTTGGACCTGCTATATTTAATTAATTATTCAAGTTAGAGTATACAGGCATTTTTCCAATAATCGGAAGGAAAAAAATAAACCTTAATTAAATAAAAAATCTTAAGTTTATGTAGATCATTTAATATTGACAACCGGTTTAGCTATAGGACTTATGAATGGAAGTGTTAATATCAAATTATAAAAAGTCTTTGAGCAAACACAATATGTCTCACACTTATAACAAAATGTTCTACGCAAATAATTGACAACTGAGTTGTTTTAATACTGTCGAATTTACTAATCCTAAGTGTTTACATATCTATAGAAACTTGGATACAATTAAAATATTTAAACTATGTGATTAGTATGTATTTATTTTATCCGACGATAGTAATAACTGCTACCAAATTACTCTGGTAGATAATTTGTAAACTTAGTATGTATTAGGCTTCGTATTTTCTAAACGACTTTCTAGGCAAATATAACTGGAGCTTAGAAGTAATGGATTGCGGCTAATAGTGGAATTCAGGACGCATATATTATCTCATCCAAAGTTCGACAACCTAACGTACCTTTATCTCCGCGTTCACATTGGGACATGAACTATGTAACTTTCGCTTCTAATGACCAACGCGCTATTTGCTGAGCTGCAGAGTTTAGATAGCTATCAACTCGTTTAGCGGGTATGCTGTTTGCATTTATTTTTTTATTTTTTCATTATTATTTTTATTATCATCATTAGAAAGAGTTTAAGTTATCCCGTTGTTTACGTAAATTCATCTGCCGAGTCCCAAATACGACGAAACGCACGTACTGGAAATCAATGTTAGCCACAATCAACCAATTCTAAATAAATTATGATATCGTCGTAGTATACGCTAATCATGTTGACAGATATAAGTATTATGAAGCACCAATCAGTAGTGAAGGCCTAGCAGCAGAAGATTGAATGAAGAGAACAGAAAGACCATCGGAGTGCAATCGAAATAACAACAGAACTAAGGGAATGGTTTCGTAGGTAAAAGGACAACGCAAACTGTGAAAATGATGATATTTTACACAGCCACTGGGTGATTTTGCACTTAAAAATAAATTGGTTTCCCCTATCTGGGTTCTCGTTCACTACACAATGTCTATATTGATGTAATCCGCTTAGAATCCACATATGCCAGCAAAGACTAATCAAACTTCAGTGTTAATTATTAACAGATTGAATCAAACCAATACAAATAGTAATTTTCGATAATGCAATGAGAAGACGAAGTTTATCAGAATTATGTGATATATTAGCGCAATACATTTCGAACAATCTGATCACACATATAGTAATATTATATTGTAGCGCATTCTACTGATGTCGACAGATATAAGTAGTATGTATCACCAATCGAAATTCGAATGCCTGGTGGCAGAAGGTTGGGAAAATCGAAAAGAAGAGAACAAAAACAGAGAGTGATTGGTAAGGAAGCGAACGAACAACAACGTTTGAGACAATCGATGGATATTTCGCAAATGAAATATTTACAGTACGGTACCAAGATGTTATGTAATACTGTGCTAAAATACATTTGATTGTCCTGATTGGTGATGTAGTTCGCCACAATATAAATATTACCGGGAAATCAACTGTGAATACCATTTCATACCCATTATTTCCATTGTTCGAATAAATATATAATACCGAGGTCCATAGATATCTGTTACACTCCAAAGAATCATATCATATACAAATTATATATGTGGAAATTTCAGCTTTGTAAATTATTTCATTCCCACCCGATAATTTGATCTTAGCTTTTTCAAGCGGAATGAGTTGTAAAACATTTAAGAATCAGTGATTAAACGAAAAAATACATATCCATGCTATATATAATAATCAATTAAGACTATCTAACTACAATGTACAAAACAGAAACAATTCTCGCGATTAAAAACCCCCACTCACAGCTGTATGCGCGGTCACATGTGTACAACCGAGAATTTTGGCTCCTTTTAATGGCTGATCAGTTTTAGCACGCTTTCTTAATGCCATCAAACCAGGCATTTCTTAAACAAACAATAAAAAAAATTAACCATAGGGGAATGAAGCAAACAGTAGCTCGTTAGTTAACTTAGTTAACTGATAACAATCCATATTAGCGAACATATATATATATATATATATATATATATATATATATATATATATATATATATATATATATATATATATATATATATATATATATATATATATATATATAATGTCGATTTAACATTGAAACAAACATAAACTACTATTCTAAATAAAAGAAATTTGAAAAATATCATCGTTATAATTACGGTAACTAGTTTGAAAAGTTCAATATTCTAATATAAATAATAATTATATCCGTATGTGCATATATGTCTCCTCTTCATCGCCTTTATAATTAATACAGTAAAAATTCATTGACAGGATTTCTTAATGTCAAATAACATTCAGTAAAAATACATTTATTATAATAATAGTGAATTTTTTTTCGAAAAAAGGCATATGATTACTGAAAAGTTTGATTTTTATTGCCTTAATCGTATAAAATGTTGAATAAACAACATATAACGAAGCGTATACATGTAAATATTTTTATTCAAGTTCAATACTCTTAACAATATAGAAATTATTAAAAAGTTAATCATATATAATATTTATTATTATCATGTTATTAAAAAGTCAAGTGATAATAATTAACTGTTTTTAAAATATTGGTGGACAGTACTTTTTTGAAAAACTTGTACATGTGAATGATACTATCTTAGGTTTAACGAATGGGTAACATGTGGAGTAACAAAATATAAATAGAAAAACATTTTTTTGTTTTATGTAAAATAAAACAAACTAGTTGTGTGTGTGTGTGTGTTTTTAATCACTGTCAATAAGGACAATGTAAAAATAATATTTTTAACAACTAACACGTGTTTTGCTGAATATAACGAAGGAAAAAAAGCTATGAAATTAGTTATGAATTTTAATCTAAGAATCTACATACTAATATAAGATGGTAGATAAATGCCAGTTTAAAATAGATCAAGAATTTTAAACAACTAGGAAAAGTTCAATTAGATTGACATTTGAAAGTATTATTCTTAAAGAGTTAGAGACGTTTCTTTACTAATGAAATATAGTTTGTAGAAAAAAAGTAACATGAAAAATAATTACAAAGACTACATTGACGTTAACAATCGTTCCTACAATTAACAAACTGTTAACAGAGAATTCCGTAAATTTGATGAGATCATTCACTTGAATAAAGCCATAACCAATAAAAAGATTGACCATATTATCATATATGGTAGACAAGGATTAAACACGTTGATGATATTTTATACTAGCCAGTGAGTTGCTAACAAAGAAAATTGATTCTTAATTTAAAATTGAATTAACTTATTCAGCAGATGTTGGGTATGAGCCACCAAACTGTAAATGTGAAGTATTAATGAACATAAACATTTTCTCAAACCCAAAGCAGACGAAGGAGGATCAAACCTGGAATTTACTAGCCAAAATTCGAAACCCCATAATTATCAAGCCATCACTTCACTTTATCCTACAAGTGCATAAATATACATCCAGTTAGTTACTTACTTGATTATCAGACGACCGTTTACTTTAGGAGTCTGTATTATTATGATTTTTAAGATTAAATTTTACTAAGTAACAATTCACTTTAATTTCAACTGACTAATAAGTAACTAGAACCACATGAATACATTACGTGTTTCCAATACAACAATTAGAGGTGGAAAAGTGAACATTGACGATGATTTTAACTATAAAAAAGTATAAAAACTTCAAAAGTACAGTGGATGTACAACCAGGTTAACAAGTTAATAACAGACACAAATTCACAAGTAAACTTCACTTAAAAAACAGTAGAAGACAGAACTGACAAGAGCATAAAGTCAAGTGGTTACTGAAAGTTGAGCAATAACCTAACAGATTATGTAAATCCAGTGATAGGGAAAAGTAGGCTGACTTAAAGGATAAAGTTAGCAGAGTTTCGACAATGAGAAAAATCTATGGAATAAAGACGATCCGGATGCATTCGACCGTAAGCGGCTGAATTTACAAAATATAATCAAGTCACATTATTTCTGTAGCAATATTATTCTAGCTACATTGAGATTTATAAAAAAATGTATCAACTGCATAACAATCCAATTACCTTGTTCAGCTATTTCAATTTCTCTACGTCCAAAAGAAGCTTGACGGATTTTTTGAACACAGAAATCATTAAATCCTCTAGAGTTTACCTATTTTGAGAAAGAAAGAGCCTTTTTAGCAGATAAAAGACCGGTCATTTAGAAAGTCTTATCTAAATTAGAAAATTTTCCTCTTAATTTTCGTGGAAAGAATAAAAACGCGCGCGAGACTGGTAGGTCCTGGGTTCGAACCTCGCAGGGGGGCGAGGTCGCGGATGCGCACTGCTGAGTCCCACAATAGGACGAAACGGCCATCCAGTGCTTTCAGGTTTTCTATGGTGATCTAGCTTCAATTGACTCATGATCTCAACCATTGAAAAAACATATAATCGATTAAACTGATAATTCATTAATGATCGGTAGTCAATTTACAAGCAACAGTAAGGAGGTAGTATGTGAAAACAATTAGAAACAAGAATGAAACATACAGAACCAAACGATTTATGAAAATATTGCGTGACGATTTCTGAAAAAAGCAATGGTAGTAAGTGATGGAAAGTAGAATCCCTAACATAAAACATGACACATACACGAAGCTAACGACATCTGGTTTTACTTGAGTAAATTTTATGCTTTTTCGTTGAGGCAAGTAAAGAAAACAAAATCGTAGTTTGAGCAGCATACTATTTTATACAATTTATCATATGCTTTTATTTACTTATTTCGAGATTTTGTGAGGCTGAACTACGAGAGTGAGTTTGAGCAACTCTTTAGATGATCTTGGCGAATTTTTTATTCATTCAGATAATTATAAAATAGCAGATATAAATGACTGATTTATAATGCCAGGACTAGCTTTTAGGTTAATTTTCTTCATATCTTTTTAATAAAAATTCTTTTCCATAGAATTTTATCTCACAATCATATCATCTTTAATTTATTTAACACTGATAAGCCAAGTGATGCACAATCAGTGTAGTGGTAATGGTGTGGTGTGTGCTACTTATATAGACATAAGTAGTATATGACGCGAGTTAGGAACGTAATGTCTGGCAGCAGAAGATGGGGGAAGATCAAGAAAGGAAGGGCGGGAACACAGTGGAATTTGTATGGAAACTCATGAACAATGAAAGGACAGACAATCGATTGATGTTTGCAACAGGAACAGTCAAGTTTGATATGATGGATTGTTATTTTGCAAATTAACGATTCACTATATGGTTGTTAGATTTTAATAACTAGTTCTGTAATTTGTTGTCAAATACATTCGATTGTCCCCCACTGGTTTTTTGTTCACTACAATGGTAATTTATTCTGTCGTGTTGAGTAGTCAACGTTGTAAAAATGAAATTAACTGTTTTAAACATTAAGCATACACCTATTTACAAATGACGGTTGATTTGATAAAGTAGAACACATAATCAGATGATAATCCAACAATGTTCTGCAAATTTCAGTCGTAATCAAAAAGGTAACGACAGAAATGAAAACAAATTTGTAAAATTTAGTTTTTTCTGTCAATAATTATATCGCCTTTGAATTTTTGAACAACCATTAGACTATTTCTTATTATCATACTAAACTAACTGAATGAAAAATATAAGGTGATATATTTTTACGAAACTTACAGCTCTAAGTCCAGGTTTCAAATAACGTTCCTTTGGATTTTCACGTTGTTGACTTTCTTCATCATCATCATCGGAACTAGATCCAGTATATGATGCTAAATAATAAAAATTAAATGAATAGCTTAGCTTTGATAAACAGAATGGTATAGAATACAACTCTGTAACATACTGATAAAAAGCTAATCAGTAAAACTGAAGAATTTTAAAGTAGACAGATGTAATTAACTCAACTATGTAGATCATACCAGGTGAAAGTCATTTCAATATTGAAAAATGATCAATATGATAGTAAAAAACTGACTAAATCAATTTCTTTCAACGGTTATTTTTCCCTAATTAAGCTGAATAATTTAGTGTACAGTAAAAAATTTTAAACTATTGGAAACCAAAGAGATTACTTGAAGTGAAACTGGTCCACTTAACGTGCCTTTTTAGACACGTGTTTTTTTTTTTGCTTTTACAATAATTTAATGATAACTCCCCAGATGTTTAAAACTGTATGAATAAAACTTATCACTGAATTATTATTAATGCTAAATCAAACGACTATATACTATCATTTAATACTGTATACAGTGAGTGCATCGTAATCTCAAATCATTTATCTTAAACATCTCTATTCTAAAATTAACTTGAGAGAAATTAACTCAGCACTAATAATTGAAGTGTAACATTGACTTTTACACATCGCTGACAGTTTACTTATCAACTGAAATATATTGAATTTATATGGTCTAAGTTTTACAGATATGGAAGTGAACGGGTATATTTCATACTGGAACGAATAGGACTCAAATTTTACAAAAAACCAAAAACAATGATGTGCATTTCTTAAAATCAGGTATTAATTTCCAGATCGATAGTTTAGCATTGAGAAGAAGCAAAACAATATCTACAAGAGTGAACTTTTCAAGGGTATTGTGTATTGATCCATTAAAAAATGGCTTTTTTATCACGAATGAAAAACAAGAGTATTTATGTATCTTTGTGTGTGTGCTATTTTTTTATCTGAAAGCATAAAATCAGATAACATTGTTACTGCCGTACGAGTCAAACTGAAAATATATTCTTATAAACATATTGTTTCCTAAGTATAAATGATGGGAGCTGGGAAAAATACTGGTTTACAATATAAACTAAACCAGTACTTAAAATTGCAGTTTAAAGCTCTACTCCGTCATGGATGCATAAAGCTTGATAGGAACGTGTTCTAATGTCAATTCCACTGAAGAGAATTAACCTTGCATAAAATGAGCAAACAATACAACGCCTACTAATCCATTACTTATGAACTAATATTCTGTATATAGATTAACGGACTGATTATTATGGACTAGACGACGTAGTCAATAGAATACAAATGGAATCCGGTTATTCAGTAAAAAATCCAAAGTTTATTTAGTACATTCTCAGAAAGTAAACTGTTTTCGACTTCCAAAGATATTTCCAAAAATATTTACACCTAGTCCATGAACGAGAAATGAATAATATTACGTCATTACTGTTATGAAAAATTAAGTGTTTATGATTGATATTCAGATGTAACAAGTTAGACAGTATGATCCACATAATTTTTTTATAAACAATTATCTACCATAAGCTCGGCTCATTTGGACGAATATGTTTTTTATACAAAGTTAGAACATAACAAGACACACATTAAGAAATACATTACAGTTTAGATGTCGAAATACAAAAATGAATATAATACAATTTAATTTTTTAAACACAAAAGGATCATAAAGAAACAATTCAAAGTAACTGTAACAATTAGATATGAACCTTCATCAAATCAGTAATACAATAGTCACTCAGCTACAACGTAGGACCAGGCACATATATGCATCGGTTCATCTTGCCACAACTCATTAGCTAATAAGATGAAAACCACACTCATGAAAGTAGTTATTTCAATGGTAGTAATTTATAGAAAAAGAATTGCATATAAAGATATGATACAGATAGAAAGAATTAGTTCGTAGAAGGGAAGATATAAAGTAATTTTGATCTCATGGTTTAAGGGAGGCAAAGAGTGTAAACAACTACACCATTGTCATCAATTTTGAGCCATGTCACGAATAGTCTCCAAACATTGGTTATGATAGTCACGCGGACCCCAATCGAGTAGTCTGCACCTACCAACATGGCTCAGACTGGAAGTTAGTGACTTCAGGGATTGATACATGTATTGGTTTGGCCGCCCTAACTTTCTTCCAACCGTCTCCAACACTAGTCAGCATTTCGCGTGGTGGTAATCGGTGTTCAGGCATACGTAACACGTGACCCAACCATTTCGGCCGATGAAGACTCAAAACCTCATCAACTGATTTACCATCGTTTCCTAATACCCTGCGTTTAACCTCACTATTACTTACCCAGTGATCCCAGCAGATGAGAGCAACATTTGTAAGGCATCTGTGGTCAAATACTACGAGTATTCTCTACTCTTAATGGCCATGTTTCGCTGCCGTAAATTGAAACAGAACGAACTGCTGCGCAGTATACTTGTCCTTTTATTGATAGACGGATATCTCGCCTTCACCATAGGTGACGTAAGTTGGCAAAATCCAAACGAGCTTTCTGAATCCGTGCTGAGATTTCGTCGGACACCAACCGATTAGGGGTGGTCAGACTTCCAAGATGAATGAAATTGTCGACACGTTCGACTACTTCACTCCCTATCCTTAGTTCACATGGTGACGCAGGCCAGTCCTGGAGCAACAACTTGCATTTAGATGGGGAGAAACGCATCCCAAACTTCCTGGTATTGTTGCTCAGTGCTACCAAAACACTGCATTTTATCAGCGTCTTCACTAAACAGAACTATGTCATCTGCGTATTCCAAGTCGATAAGTGGACCTCCTGGAAAGAGATCAATGCCCGAAAATTCAGACGACAAGAACGTTATTCCCAGCAGTAGGTCTATGATGAAATTGAATAAAAATGGAAATAACGGACAAGCTGCCGAACACCACTTGAGGTTGCGAAATCAGATGTCAGTTCGCCATAAGCTCTGACTCGATTAGTAGTGTTCGGGTAAAGAGCCCTCACAAGACAATACAATCATTTACGATTCACCTAGGCTATAAATAAAACTAACTGCGTAATGCATTACATAATTTAAATATCTTCAGTTTAGTAGTTCTAATATATGATACAGTTAAAATAAAACTGAAGTGTTAAGATTGAAAGATTGATCATGACGACGCCGTTACATTTGCTTTGTAAACTACTTATCTCTAATACATGAATTATATTTGATTTATTTATTCTTTTCTAATAAGGACTATCTATCTATTCATTTCTCCGGATTTCCCCTGTGTGTTGCTCTGAAATGTGGCTAGGTGAATCTATACATTTTTGTCTCAGGTTCTACAATGATATCTATTAGTACAAAATACTTAGATAAACACAGTTTGATTCAAAGTAAAAACGTTTATTTAGATCCCATAATAAACGGCTAACAGTTCAATTGTCGAAATCAAAAATTCAATGAAACTATTCGTGAAAGAATTTCAAAAGCAAACTATGTGATTTTATTCCTTGTTTAATAAATACAGCTATATGATGCTATTTATGACATTCCCGAAAAATAAGAAACAGTACCAAATGCCCTGGTATGGCCGAGAGTGGGGAGAGTCCGCTCTCCCTCTCGAAATGCTCTCATATGGCCACGCGTATATAGCCTCTGCCAGGGAAGTCCTACTCACTGCCTTCTCGTGGCGGGGGTGTTGTTTACGAAAATGAGAGAACGAAAAGCGAATGTCCGGCGCTATAACCGGATCCCAAACCAATGGTGTACATGGGCTCCAGTATCCTGCGGGAACAAATGGCGTATGAACCAATCGTTGGTCACCGGCTACCATGGGACTGCATCTCCTTACGATGTTCCACTGCCTTGTGGGTCAGACGTTCAGATCGAATGCTCGGGGTGTGGCCCCCTAAGAAAACCACCTGTTTCGGTTTGGGCACCCGGGCAGTATCACAGCCCTCACACAAATCAATTGAGATTCGTGTGGCGCATATGTACTTGGTGCCTCCTTGTACCAATACCTATGTGTTAAAATAAATAATAATGTTCATCTTAAATGGAATTGAAATGGCTAGGACAACATTTTACAATAGAATTCATAGAAATAATCTACAATGAGAAGACTGACAACATCTGATTTTACGATTATGTAGAAAAATTTCAAACATACAAAGATTTTCTAACTTATAGAATGAACAAATTTCTAGGTTAACACATAATGGTGAGTACAGGGATTCATGTAAAATTAATAATCAAAAAGGAATTTTATTGAGAATCAATTGATGTGAAATCAATAAATAAATCAATTTTTTAAGTCAATAGATGTTAAAAAAAAACACTTAATTTGACATGTTTAACAATTTTATTTGTATACTGATTTCAATATAGATTTGGTGTCACTATATGTTACAACGTTAGTAGAATACATCAGGTGAAATATAAAATCAACTAGAGAATTTCTTTACACTTTATTAATCAGTGGTTTGGAGAGAGGTTTAAGTAGACCTGGCACAGTATTTTGCTCACTAGAATCGTTAGCCATGGTGGAAAGTACGAAAAGCGAATGTTCAGCGCTTTAACAGGGGAGTTGGAAAATCGTGATTCCAAATCAGTAGTGCACATGGGCTCTAGGATCATGAGGGAACAAATGGCGTATGAACCAATCGTTGGTCACCGGCTACCGTGGAACTGAATCTCCTGACGTTGCTCCACTGCCTTGTAGATCAGACCTTTAGGTCGAAGGCTCCGGGCGTGGCCCCCTAAGGAAACTACCCGCTTCGGTCTGGGCACCCGGGCAGTACCACAACCCACACACAAACCAAGTGACTTGTGTGGCGCATATGTATTTGGTGCCCCTCTGTACCAATATTTGTGTTCAAATAAATAAATAAACACAGTAGTATTGAGTGCTGTTAGAGGTATAAGGGCGGTTATTACTTTCCGGTTGCCCACACCGTGGAAGGGTTCTTCCAGAGGTACCTGAAAAAAATTGGGTTGGTATTGGTGACCTGAGAGCGTCACAACAGTGTCCAAGCGACAACTGCTTGAGGCCGGTTACACGCA